AAGAGGAAACAAAACCAAAAGTTTGCTTTCAACCCCCCCCCCCCCCAGCTCTGTTCTCTTGTGAATGCACTTTGATTCATAGAATCACATCACAGAAACACAGGGTGGTTTGGGCTGGAAGGGACCTCAAAGAGCATCTTGTTCCAACCCCCAGCCAGGGGCAGGGACCCCTTCCTTCCACCAGGCTGGGTGCACACGCTGCACACATGCTCAGCCACCCGCAAACACGGCCTTGGCTCTGACAGGGATGACTTTACAGATGGCACCCAAATGCCACCTGCCTTTGAGAGCAACCTTGGCCTGCCCCCCAACGTGCCACGGAAAGGAGATGCCAGGGTTTGAAGGACACCATCAGAGCCTCCCAGCCAAAGCAGCAAGGGCTCTGGATCCTGACAGGAACAAAATGTACTCCATTCAAACACTACTCAGCTAACTTCTTCCTCACGGCAATACATCTCAGTCTCTTCATAAATGCAAAATGGCACCTCTACGTATATATTCCCATAGAATTCACAGATAATATTCCTGTATCTTTATGTATTCAATAGATACAGATGGCAAATAACAAGCTCGCTTACATTTAGTACCAAAATCACAAGCTACATCCTAAAAGGAAAGGAAAACCATCTCCTCTGCCATTAATTTACAGGGAGTCTGCTAGTTTACAGGGGGTTCTCAAACTACGAGACTCTTTATGATAAATTCTCCTGTCACCCCCACAGATCATTCTTCCCTTGCCAATCAGAGACAACATTTCTTATTTCGAGGTTATCCAAATTCTGGCACTCTGCCTTCATTCCATCTGAAAACAAAAAGGTTGAATCTCTGCTATTAGAAACAACCTGACCTGTACTGTGAGTAAGCAGCCAAACTTAAGAGCTACTGATCCTGGACACTGAAGGGATCTGAAGAAGAGATTGAAAAAAAACCCAGTGAGTTTAGGGAAAAGAATAAACTTCTCCAGTTGCCTGTTCAGACTCCCATGTCCATTTAATGTTTATTTGGAATAATGGGCTAAAAATCCAATACCCTCTACTCCTGCCTGGAAAATATTTCAGAAGGGCTTCTCCCTGTTATGTCACCATTGCCACTGACAGTGTGTAAGATCTGGTATGAATACAGTTATTGGGATGTTTGTCAAAACTACCCAGAACTATGGGGAGAGACAGAAACTATGAAGGGAAATAATGATGGTTCAGCACCTAAAAACCATGATTTAACTAAGAGGATGGGAGAAAAGCAATTTGACTCTTTTTGTACGGGCTTATGAGAACAGGAGGCCAACTTTTAGTGGCTGTTACAGCTCCAGCCTGGAATCCACGAGTACACATCTATTTCCTGACTCATGAGGGCAAAAAAGAACATTACTGTCATTTTATTTCTTCTAAAGTAGCTGCCCAATATTCCCTAGATGATGAGATATGCATGGTGGATGCTGCCTACCACAGTGCACTGCACCTAAGAATGCTCTCAGTATTTGTCCAGTTCTCCTCACAGAAATACCTTCAGCTCCTGGTAAAGGACGGCAATTACTGCCACATTTAGCCGTGCCAACAGTTTTCAAAGCTGATTATCCAGAGAAGCTAATCTCCTAAAAATGCAGGTTAGCATTCTGGCATTAGGGAAATCATGGTGCAGGCTGCATCGACATCCTAGCCAGGGGTAAGCCAGACCCCTGCTCTGCTTGACTTCTGTGAAGAGCAGAGCACAAACACGTGGCTACACCACGATCACAGAAGCAAAATCAAACGGAATTTACAAAGCAAGATCATAATTATGAAGTTGAACAGACGCTGTGTTTTAATTACATAAAAAAGCACTTGCTTTAGTTAGCAAAAGATGTTTTTTCCATTAGAGCATCCTGGCTCTGAAGGCAGCCATGAGATAACTGAAAAAGACAGGCAGGAATTGATTATTTTCTGGTTTTTTTTCTGAGTATTTTTAGTTGTTGGATAGTTCAGGAGCAATAAGCCATGCCAGATTCTGAAAATGGCTCCTTGCTAGCTGCTATCAGCAACGGGATTCTAGACCCTGTGGAGGTTTGGGAAGATCCCCACTGTCAGTCTGATAATGCTGGGATGAAAAGGCATACCCAGCATCTCTCCTGAGGCTCCTGGGAAATCAGTCAGATAAAAATCCAGATTATTGAGTCACTGAATCAGTCAGTCCTGGGAAAGGAGAGATGTCAAAAATGGTTAGGTACCAAAACAGAAAAAACCCTCCTGAGAGTTTAGGAGGGCAGGGGAAGGGGAAGATAAAAAGCTCCCAGAGGTCAATCTCTGCAGATGGACCTTCTCTTCCTCTGCTCCAAAATCTACCGTGTCTGAAATCATCAAGTCCCAGGCAGCACTGCATGAAATTCCTAATTCTTTTGCTCTCCCAGGCCCTCTCCTCTTGAGCTTGTAGCAAATGCCTGTGGCTAAGGCTATCACCATCATTTTCTAGTTGAATGGAGAGATACTGTTATTGTCCTCATGTGAATACTTCCAAAACAAAACTCCCAGCAAACACAGCACAGAGTGGTACATTATGGCTGCAGAGAAACAGTATCAACTTTCAAGGCTATTTGGCATATTTAGCTGAAGAGTATTTTTTTCTGAAATATATTTATTATCTACAAGAAAGAAAGATCCTTTTACAGGGCATCAATTTTTAGTCTTTAAAATATTTGAAATACTAATAAAATAACAAGAGAGAGAAATAACCCCAAAAGGAGGAGGTGGGGAAGAGCAAAGGAACAAAATCTTGCAGGCACACAAACAACACTGCAGACACCCAAGCACTCCCTAAGACTGAGGAATTACACCTGCTCTGCTAAATGAGCCACCCGTGTGGAGAACATGACTGATGGGTCTCTGGCACTGGATTGCCCTGTATAATTTATTCCACACCTGCAGGGCTGAGTTAACTGTAGCTGTGCAGGTTTTAACTGTGAGTAAAACTGCTCTGGCAAAGGAGAAGGAAGCGCTGGTACTTACTGAGGAATCAGGAAGATGCTCCTCCTCTTGTGAAAAAGAGCTGTTGAAAGCTCTGAAGGTCTCACTGTTCTGTTTGTGCTTTTCAATTGTGGCTTGAATGACCTGAGACAAAAATTCCAGCAGAGGTGAGAAGCATCACAAAACAAACAAACAAAAAAAAACGACAAAACTTTCATAGGAAGATGGGCAGGATTATAATTTAAAGAAAAACCTTAGACTTGTATAAATGAAAGGGAAACTTAAAAACCTTGGGTGTTGGTGTTAACTCACTATTGCTTAGGTTAAAAACTAGAACCGCCATCAGACAGGGTCTGCACAGGTCAAACTGCAAGAATATCCAAGGTCTGATGCCTCAGTCTCCTCTCTCACTGAGCTTGAGGACTGCAGGAAAGGGGAGCCCATTTGGAGCCCCCAGACACTGGACCCTGACTGGGCTCCACATGTCTCCAGGAGCAGCTCCCCCAGACTGGCCCACCCAGCTTCCTTGCACAGCCACAGTCACCCAGAAAGCCCAGAAAGAGAATTTTAAATGCTGCCTGCACGGTGACTGCCTCCCCTTATCATTAGTGTTTTGTACTAACCTGAATCCACTCCCTCTTCTCCTCTTCTGTCCTGTTAAAAGAAAAGAAAAACAGAGGAAACAACCTCATTCTACTTCCAATATTTTCAGTGCGTTCAATTCACAGCTTTATGTCCATCAAGATTTTAGCTTTGCTATCCACTGTTTTACAAACATTATGAAAAATTATTGACTGCAGTTACTAGAAAATGTCCAAAATATTTCAATTACTGATACAGTGGAACTTACAAGCACTACTATAAACACTGTAAGCATTCAATAAAGGCAATAAACATTGCACTGCAACACACTTTGGCTTAGGACCAACATTCTCTTGCATATCTAAGTCACCCATCTCTGCTGCTCCCCTCATGGTTTAAAGCTTTGCCACACTTGCACAGCCCCTAGATCATCAATTCCTCCATACATATTTAAAAAAACCTCCAAAGACTGAACAAGCACTGTACCTGGCTTGCAGTTCCAGTGATCTCTTTTTTCCTGTTATGGAAAACGTATGAGCCACGTTCTGCTTGGCAATTTCTTGGACCTGGAAAAAGAACCAGTCAGCTTCCTACTCATCCACCTTGTCTTTCCATCCCTTTTCAATGACTGACAAATATTCTTTGAAATGCTTAGTCGAAAGGATCATTCTGAGTGTGGAACAGAGGTGGAAAAAGGAAGGGATGGTTTTCACAGTTACTTGTCTTGCTACAAAACTTGTGGATCTGTATCATCAACCAGTACCCTGCAGCAGCAGGGGAGAAGGTGGTTCCTGTGTCAGCCAACAACAATTCAAGAAACAAACCCAAATCACAGAATGATTAAGGTGGGAAAAGGCCTCTAAGATCACCAAATCCAAGGAAAACCCAGCACCACCACGTTCACCACTGAACCATGTTCTCAAGTGCCACATCCACAAGTTTTTTTGAACACTTCCAGGGATGGTGGTTCCACCACTGACCCAGGCAGCCTGTGCCAGGGCTGGACCGCCTCTTTCAGTGAAGAAATTTTCCCTAAAATCCAATCTAAACCTTCCCTTGTGCAACTTCTCATCCCATCACCTGGGAGAAGAGACCAACCCTCACCTGGCTACACCCACCTTTCAGGGAGTTGTAGAGAAGGTCCCTCCTGAGCCTCCTTTACTCCAGCCTGAATCCACCCAGCTCCCTCATCAGACCTGTGCTCCAGACCCTTCCCCAACTTCACTGCCCTTCTCTGGACACACTCTGCCACCTTAAGGTCTTTCTTGTAGTGGAAAAACTGGATTGATCAGAAGTGATCCAAAGCCAGACTTTAGCATTTAATTACATTTTTATATGCACACAGGGTTATGTTTTTGGATTGAGCAGGGATCTGAGGCTACCAAGTGGAGAAGCATTAAAACAAACAGGGGGAAAAGAAGAGATGCAAACCTGCAGTCCTGCGATGTCCATCTTCTCTCGGACACTGAACTTCTGGCCAATCAGCCTCAGTTTCGGCACGCAGTACAACACCATGCTGTTGAACTGCAACAAGGGGAGAGTTTAACTTAGGGGGTTTGATGCTGGACACCATCTTGGAGATCTCCAAGAGGTTCAAGGTGAAAGCTGGGCTCAGGGATCATTACTGAAAGCAAAGGGCAGACAGAAACAGGGCAGACAGTTGCCTCTCTCTTCTGCCCCTCCCTCTGCATTTGCCTGCCTTGAGAGCACAAGGGATCTTCTCTCAGTGCCAGCAAGAGCTGGCCATCTCCTGCAGCAACGTGGCGTGGCTGGAAACAGCCTCCTCTGGCACTCCACAAAAACTGTGGAAGATGGGAAAGACCCCTTTGGACCCGATAAGGCATCAGTAAAATCACAGCATGGAAGGAGGAAGGAAATCCTGGAGCAAAAGGATTTTGCTGTTCAGAAGGAGTAGCTGGGCTCAGCTGGTGAATGCTTTTCATATTTGAGCTTAGAAAGGTGGGAATGTACCACAGAATCATAGAGAGGTTTAGGTTGCAAGGGACCTTAAAGTTCATCTCATGCTGACCCCCTCCCATGGGCAGGGACACCCTCCAGGCTGCTCCAAGGCCCATCCAACCTGAGCACAACTCTGAAAATAAAAGAACAACTAAAACACTCACCAGGAATAAGTACCTATCCTGTGCTGTGCCATTCTTTGCTGAAAGTTTCTGAATGTGTCCTTCTTTAATGAGCTCATTGGCTGGGTTAACAATATCCTCTTCACCCCCCAGGCGCTCATAGACTTCCAAGAGCTTGTGCATCTTTTCCTGCAAGTACAAAAACCCAGCAATTTAAATTTAAAAATTTATTCCACTGGGTCAATTGCCCATTGTGTCATTTCTGTGGTAAGTGTAAATAAGCTGGAAAGAAAAGAAGCCTTTTTCTTCTGCCATAGCTTTGCATTTTCCTGAATACCTGTTGCACACCCTTCAGTTCTCTTCCCCACTCTGGATTAGTCACCCAGGATTCTACCATTTTAATGACATTTTGATATCAATCTATTTGATATTTTTACTCATTACTATTCAACAATAAAGATGGATCACAGAATCATAAAGGCTGGAATAGATCTCCAAGATCCTCAAGTGCAGACATTACCCCTTTGGAACCATTATCTTCACAAGCAATGACACTGGATCCAGTAAAATCAACGGCCAAGTTGGAGGCCAATACATTCCCAAACAATTTCCAAGCTAAGCCTAAAACCTCAGCTGTCTGGGGAGTGCTGCAGTCCTACACAGGAGCCTCTGTGGTCAAAAGAACCTCTGAAACAGGCCAGGCCAAAATTCTTAAAATGTAGTTTTCGTGTCCTGCAGGAATCCCCACATCTTGGTCAAATTTTTTTTATGAAGGGATTACTATTTCCTTTCCAGCAAAACGCTGTTTCTACTTTACATTAAGTCATCCAAATATTAAAAGTCCCTCTACACAGTATTCAAATGCATAAAGGTAACACCCCCATCCACTTTATTAAGCAGTACAGAAGCTGTAACAAGTCAAAATAAGAAAGATGTGTAACTCCTGCTCCCGAATTACAGCCTCTGGAAAGGTTTAGCTTTCAACCTCAAGCTGGACAGATGTGGTCCAAATGGTCAGGAAGTGAGGACCAAGACTGATGGTCTTGGTCTCTATATATGCCCAAATATATGCCCAAACATACCTCTAAATCATACCTCTACCTACTCACAGATTAAGCTGGAATTTCAGGTCTTCACACGCTTTATTGACCTCCATTTGACCCAAGAATGTTCACCACAAATATGCTTCACAGCAATCCCTGCCCTAATCAGTTCTTCTGACCAATGATCAAGAAATGAACAGGTAAAAAAAAAAAGCCACCAAAATAAGAAACATAAATTCAAACCCTTAAAATAAACACACTGCAAACAAAATGGAAGGTAGGGTATGTGGGCTAATTACAAGTAGGCAAATCACCTAAGCATCAAAAGGTAGATTTTTCCCCCAAGTGGGAAGATGAGCAACAGATCCTGCTAATTTACAAACAAACAAACAAACAACAGCGAACTTCTCAAACTGTTTTTTTTTAAAGGGGAAACTAGAACACCAGGAATAGACTCGAAACCTGAGGAACATCTGCACTTCTAGGATCAATCAGATTTGGAAGCATGATTTATTCCTTCTACTGGAAGCAGCAAACACTTAATTCAAACCTCCCCTAACTTTTGGAGATTTTGGTACAGCACTCTCTTTCCTTTCAGTTTGGCTTGGACTTCATGCAGCAACATTACTACAGCAGCCTTTTCCATTTGGTTTTTGTGTACTACCAGAAAAAGCACCCAACACAGAAAGCCACGAGCTGGTACCTTCATATTGCTGCTGTCTGCAGGGATACTGCACACAGCCCCCAGGAAGAGAGTTCTTAGAGGCCTCCAAGCAGAAAAATTTCCACCCAAAAATACATCCTTATCAAGAGAACACACCAGACTCAAACAGAAACAGATGGTTTCCTCACTGTGTTTTCAGACACGCTGAAAATACACAGACATCAGCTGGTTACTGCCCCAGAGCAGGCACAGGAAACGTGGCCTCGTGGGGAGGAAGTAAAAGTCTGAGAGGGAAGGGGACATAAACCTTGCACCTACAAATGGCCAGTGGGTATTAAGCTGGACGCACAGCACCTCAGATCCATTAAATACAAAAGACACCTGGGTGCACCAAAGGGATAACACCTGCAACTATAAAGTCCATTTACTTCAATGGTAACGTGCTAGAGCTCTTCTATAGGTAAAACACGTGCTAATGCTCAAAAATATCTGTGGTCTGACTGCCCAGCTTCCGAAGTGCAGCTTTCCCAAGCTACTGACACATGCAAAATGCACACTCAGCGCATTTAAGATGAGCCAAAATCAAATCAAAGCAACCTTCAGTCTGCTGAAGACCTGCAGGAGTACAGAACCAGCGTGAAAACCCTGCAAGGACACCTTGTGAATGGACCTAGTTGGAATGCTTTCAATGCTTTTCAAGGAAAAGCCAAAAATGACTTTTCTGGAGACCTCCTTTTCCAACTCGTTAGGCCCTTAAGAACGAGGGAAGTGACATTTAAGCCCAACAACACACAGTGACTGCATTTACAACAAAGAGAACTCAAAGAGCCCGACTGACAGTATTTAAAACACCTCCCCAGTCTACTGCACTGAGAGACTGTCAGTTCAGCCACGATCCCCATTCCATTCTGGAATTGCCACTCACCATCTTCCGGATGGCTGCGTTGGAATGGTTCGCTGCCGTCGAGATCAGCTCCAGCGACTCTGCAAGAAAGGCACCAGCAGTTATTCATTCTCCACGTTACATCTGTTAATAGCACCATGTTTTTGTTTTGTTTTTCGTTTTTTTTTTCCACCTCCTGATTATTATTATTTTTTCTTCAAAACTGCTGTTACAGACACGATCACTTCTGCACATTCAGCCCACCCGTGTATGTTTAAGGTTTCACCCTCCTTTCCTAAGAGTCCAGATGAGCTGAAGTGCAGCAAACCCCACCTTCTAGGAATCACCTCCTAAAAGTTAAGGCTCACCTAGGCCTTTACAAGCATGTTTTTAAGACTGCTTTGCTAGAACAGGGCTTGCCTGCTCACAGTGACGTGGACCCTGTTTTTGGCTGAGATCAAAAATTCCTCAAAACCAAGGGAAGTCCATTTCTCCCGTTTCTCCGTGTTAACAGAGTCTAACTGGCTTTCCTGGCAACAAATACACCTTCAAATACAATACACATTTAAAACCATTCCTAATTTCTTCCTCTGGCTATTGCAAGGATGTCCTTCTCTCTTTGTCCTTGGCCATACAATGGATTAAACAAAAATGCCAGATGTTCTACCAGGACAAACTTCAATATATAGTCACTGCCTACTACTTGCTGCTTTTGTTCCCAGAGCTGGCACCCCAACCCTTTGCTTCTCTACTCCAAAAGCATTCAAAACCCCTTTGTTTTGGCAATAATTGGATTAATTCAAATCTCCATTTCTTACACAGTGCTTAGGGTAAGTATCTGAACATGCAAAGAAAAAACTGCCCAAGATTTCATCGTGCTCATTAGACAGAGAGGAGTTTATACGTACTTTCAGCATCTTTCCTGTCTGGAGATTCTTCTGGAAGTTTCTTTAAATAGTCCTTCAGGAGAAGCTCATAACGAGGAATCCTTTGCACTGGTTCAAGCATGTGATGCTGTAAAGTCAGGTTTCCACACACCTCCTGTTTCTGTAAGAGAGAGAAAACAAGCACAGGAGGGTTTGGTTTTGTTCCTCCCTTTGGTGTTAAACAGCAAGGAAAAATAATGTCCATTTACATAAATCAGAGGAACACACAGGAACTCCTCAACCATCATGGAATGACAGACTCATTAGGCTGGAAAACACCATCAAGATGATCAAGCTCAAACATAAACCTAACACTGCAGAGGCCACCACTAAACCCAAGTCCTAAAGTGCCACATCTACACATCTTTTAAACCCCTCCAGGGATGGTGACTCCACCACTGCCCTGGGCAGCTGTGCCAGGGCTGGACAACACTTTCAGTGAAGAAATTCTCCCAATATCCAATCCAAACCACCCCTGCTACAACCTCAGGCTGTTTCCTCTTGTCCTGTTCCTTTTTCCCTGGGAGTTGGAGAGTGAGAAGGTCCCCCCTGAGCTTCCTTTTTCTCCAGGCTGAGCCCCCCAGCTCCCTCAGCTGCTCCTCATCAGACTTGTGTTCCAGACCCTTGCCCAGCTCCGTTCCCTTCTCTGGACACTCTCCAGCCCCTCAAGGTCTTTCTTGTCCTGAGGGGGGCCCAAAACTGACCCCAGAACTTGAAGTGTGTGCCAGCAGATTGTGTGTGTTTCCTCACAGGCTCAGGAAAGCTCTTGTCACCCCCATGGCCCTGTGTAGTGTTGTTCCCCCCAGACTACCCCAAATCAGAATGCCCCTGGGGATGGATATACTGCTCCCTAGAGCTCACTGCAGGAGCAGCAGACACGCTGCTCACACCTCTGAAAGGAGGAGCTGCCTCGAATTCTACTTATTTTTCACTTGACCAAGAAGTGGGGGGGTGGTGGGTGAGGCAGATTACACTAAATACCACCCTATAAGGCACCAAAGTGCTCTGCCTGCAATGGTGTTGCAGTTTACCTGTTTTCACAGGATCCCTATGAAAAACAAACAAACAAGCAAACAAGCAAACAAACAAACAAACAAAAAGCCAGAGGATGTTTCTATTTAAAAGAGAAGGAGGGACTAGAGTCTCAGAACGAAGCAGTAACTTGCTTTAGAGCACACAGGAAGCTCCTGCTAGCGATGTAATCTGACTCCACAGCAGCACAGCTAACCACATACACACACACAGCTCCTCTCCACAGCATTATTTTCACATCAGCTCACTAACGTGGCCTGTTCTAGTGTAAACAGCCTCTCCACAACCACATTAATTTCGGCGTGCATTTCTCAGAGGAAGGCGTTTGTTTCAAGTATTTGCAACTTGCTCAGAAATATCCCAGCCCACACCACTCTGCTGACTCGCTCTGTTCTCACAGCTAAGCCTGGAGATAATGGCATGGATGTCTGAGAGGAAAACACTGGCTCTCCTTCCAGAAATCCAAAGGTGCACGTTTACTTTCAAAAATATCCTGTCACGGTGTAGCAGGGTGAGCAGTGTTTCTGTTTAGGGGAGCTGAAGTGACTTCATCATCTCTCAGAGTTTTACAGCACCATGTTTCCCAGAAAAATACAAGTGGGATGGAAAGAATCAGAGATTTCAGGGCACAGAACTGCCCTTGGATTACATTTCCAAATCCACTTACTATAACCTTCTCCATGGTCTTTTTATTTCTGCAATAGGATGAACCTTAGCACAGGACAGCAATAGGGAAGCAGAGGAGGAGGTCACTTCAAGGCCCAGCCAGTTGTATTCACATGTAAGTGCCCCCTTCTGAAAAGGCAGCACTGACAAAATAAACTGTTCCAAATAGGCAAAGGTTCATGCCATGCAATTTTAAAAGTTTACAGAGTTCACATTGGAATTTTAATGACTTTACTAGGGGAGAGATAAATGTTTATTCTGTGTTCAATTCACATGAGAATACAAAACATACACATATAATACATAAATATATATATTAATAATATAAAATTATTAATTACATGTTGTATATATTTAAAAGTGTTTACGTGACGGCATAAGGAGAAAGCTGACAAACCAAAAGCCACAATAAAACTCACCACCTATCAAGCTTTGGCCCCAGCAGGTAGATGTGAACTGAACAGAAAGTATGGTTATCTTCGAGGTCAGCTAAAAATCAACTTGCTAAGTCACAGCCATCCACTTATTAGTAATCTGACTTTTGCTTCCTGTTTTCCCTGGTTTACCACAATCAGTAACTGCGAATGCCTGGTGGTGGTGGCAAGGGACAGGTGAGTTTCGTGGAGGGCAGATGCCCGTGCTGTAGGGAAGGCAGTCCCAAACGGATTCACCCCACAGAAAACCACGTGCATGGCTTGGCACAGGCTGAAGGCAGCAAAACACTGCACTGCTGTGTGTGCAGGCTGAGTGCAGGCAGAAGAAGGGGAGGATGAGGCCATGTGGAGCAGCAGCGTGGCAGGAGGGGACCTCCCCCAGTCTCTGCCTCTCCCAGCTTCTGTCTGAGTCACGGCTGCAGCCCTGAGCCTCCACACTGGGCCTCTCATCTCCCAGCTTGCTGGGGGATTACTTGATTCCTGACAGCTGGCCCAGCCACAATCCTCCCATTTAGGGCAGGCAGCTGTGCTCCCTGCTCGGCTTAACCCGCTCCTCGCCAGCCCTCCCCTTCCAAAGGGCTGGATCTGCTTCCCCAGGGCTGGCACAGGGATGCTCTCGAGCTGCTGGAGCCTCCTGCACCCCTTCAGCTGGCCCAGGGCCCGAGGGGAACAGAGTGGTTTCACAGACACACCAGCATAAGCAGGGCCCTTCCCCTCTCCCCAAGCAGCTTTTTGTATAATTATGAGAATACACAGGAAAATCCCTGTTAAGCATCCTCCTGTGGAGCTGTGATCCTGAAAGAGCCTCAGGAAACCCAGACCAACAGCACATGCTGTCAGTGATACATGTCCAAACTCAAACACAACCACTTCAGAATGAAAATGTACTTATTAAAGAACAATTTAAATTAGTAATGAGGAGGACAAATCAAAAAGAGTCAGAATTGCTGGGCCAGTGGTAAAGTTTCCTTCTGTGACTTCTGACACTCCTCTTAAATCACAGAATCATGGGATGGTTTGGGTTGGAAGGGACCTTAAAGACCATCCAGTCCAACCCCTTTCTGCTAGACCAGGTTGCTCCAACCTGGCCTTGACCCCTTCCAGGGATGGGGCAGCCACAGCAACTCTGGGCAACCTGTACCTGGGCCTCCCACTCTCATAGGGAAGAATTTCTTCCCAATACCCAATCTAACCCTGCCCTCTGTTACTTTAAAGCCTTACAAAAAAATTAAATTAAAATCTTGAGTGGAGAAAAGCTACCTATGTGAAAAATCTGTGTCACAGCGAAAGAGAAGAAAGGACTGCCCCTAAAACTGTATTTTCAGTATTAGTGTGGTATTGTCTTGTAGCTGAACACTGGGAAACAAATAAACTCACACAAAGAAATGAGGATCTCTCAGTCCTGGTTCCAGCCAGGACACAGTTAATTTTTTCCAGTAGCTGAGGGGGAGCGTGGCCAGGACCCAGAGGTTATTTGATACCATTCCATACCATTCCATACCACCTTGTCATTGCCAGGGTGGGGGGAAAGGGATTCTCTCTCTTGTAGGGGGAGAAGCGAGGAGTAGTTTTGGAGTCTGGGTGGGGGACACTAAACTGGGGAGCACCGTTCCTACACCCCGACAATCTCCGAGCCTCATTATGCCAGTTAACAACATACCTGTATGTTCTGAACAACATCTTTGAAGGGAGAGGACCTCTGCATACATGTGTTCACTATGTCCATTGCCCTGTCAAAGTTCTTCACATATTCTCCATACATCTTCAGAAAGGGAGCAAGTTTCTGCAGGATATCTCCCAGCCGTGGGTTGACACTCCTGGGAGAAAGGGACAGGTAAGGAAAGGAAATCTCTGGAAATCAAAAGTTGTCTTCAGAGAGAAAACACAGCTGTAAGACTTCCACAGCTGTCTCCCACATGCACAAGCACTCAGACACATGTGCAGTCAAGACAGTCAGGCTAAGTTTAGTTTGAAGTAATTCATACATTGGCCCAGATGAAACCTCAAACATTAATCCTGATGTACAAGGGATGGCGTTTCTGCCCCCACTGTCACTCTCTTTAAGTGAAGGCCAGAGATTCAAACAGACTGTGCATTATTAAAGGAACATCTATATGTCCCTTCTGCCCAGCACAAAATCTTGTGGGGAAACTTTTACATTTGGACTCAGCCAAGAGAGGTGCAAGCTCTGGTCTCGTCTTGGTCACGTAGGGCACCTAGAAAGGTCAGCACTACTCTCCTAGATCTGACTTACCATTAACTTTCTACCCATCACTGCACTTCTGCCTGAACTACAACTTAACAGAATCACAGAATTATTAAAGTTGGAAAAGACCTTAAGGATCATCAAGTCCAACCTTCAAGTTATTACAGTAGCCAAATTTTAATTGGTATTTGAAAATATTTATTTCATCTACCAGGCCAAAACAAGCAATTTCATTTCTTCCTAGTGCTGCAATTCCATGGGACTGCATTCATAGGGGAGTTGGGAATGCAGTAAGGAAAACAGCTCTGGCAATACTTTGGACTGGAAAAACGTATTCTGGAAATTCTGAGTGTTCAGACGTATTCCTGAAGTCAAAAATGCTCGAGAGACTCCATGCTAATGCATTAAATAACTAATGTATTAACTACCAGCATTAAACAATTAAAAATTTGGACTCAGACTAGGCTTTATGGTTGCTATAGTTTCCTGAAAATGTATTCTTATTAAAGTAATTGCCATGACAGTTACCCACCATTCTTGTGTAATTCTTGTTTTGAGCTCAGGGAGAAGAAACTGTCCATGGAAACAATAGATGGAAGAAATGTTTGAGAAGATGCCTGTTATCACTTCAGATGAAATCCCTGCTTCAGACAACTTAGTGCAAAAAACCTGCAAGAAGACGAGACAGCACCAACATTAATTTACAGAAAACAATCCCAGACACGCTGACTTTGGATTGTCATTTTGCAAAACTGACTGCTTAGAACAGAGCTATGGATTTTGACTTGTGGCAGTCAGTCCTTGGGGTCTTTCAGGAGGTTCACAGAACATAAGCCCACTGTCACTCAGACTTAGATTCATCACTAAAATCAGGAAAATATGAGCTGCAATTCAAAAAAGACTGAAACAACTGATAAGATCAGACATCTCCTATTTGGGAGTGCAAGAACATTCAGTCCCTGAAGAGCATTTGCTGCTATTTACATAAATCAAAATAAACCATGTGATTGTTTTGTTTCTCAGCAGGATTGTTTGTTTCTATATCCTACAGACTACACTACACTGAACTAAAGGGAAAGACACCCCACCCCACCCCCCCCAGATTTCTGCGGTCTAGAAACAGTCTCTGCTCATGTAAAACAAACACTGCAAGTCTTCCCTGGAGTTCCTAAAGTTAGAGGTAGGGGGCTACAGCTTCTATCAGCATTTCTAGCCAGGTGACAACTTTATTTTTCCTTTTTTTTTCCCCCCACTCATTTTTAAAAAGCCCTTTGTTAGCAACGTGTCTCATCCTCATTTTCACTTCATTCCTGCACATTCCTTTTTCTTCTTTCCTTTGAGATAATTATAGAAATGCCTGAGCTGTGTGGAGTCAACTCAGTATTTATGGGGACGGAAGTTTTCAGACTCCTCACAGCAGTTTTACTTCATCCCCACGTGGAACCATGATGGGCAACAACTACAGAGCACAGTAGTGCCTCCAGTGCCCCTGGGATTTCCTCTCCCCATAAGCCCAGGGAGGAACCAAATTGCTGATGGTGTCTGTATCTTAAAGTGCTGCTGCTTTCCTGTTCCCCTTTCTGCCATCCCAGTCCTCTGGCTCGACAGGAGACATCACTGCTGCTCACTCAAAAGAAAGGGGAGTTAATTCTTCAAAAAGGAATTACCTGGTCCAAGAGGTGGAGCCTTTTAACATAAGCTTCTTCCGTGTGGAGCAGCTCATTGGCGATGTTGAACAGCTTTTGGGGCTCTGTACACTGAAAAAACCGACCACAAATTACAGTCAAGTTACAAGTTACAATCCATCTGCACCTACACCCCTTAAGTTTCATCCACTGTTCTCTTTTCCATTTTGTCAGTGGCCAAAATCCCTGCCAGCAGAGGGGCCTGGAGTGAGGGAGGTTAACACGTTTCAGAATCTGCTCTGTGTCCCTCATCAAAGGATCACTTTGCTCCAGAGACATTTTTAAAGTTATTTTCTGAAGGAGCACTTGGTAATGCAGTCAGTGGCTGGTCAGGACATCACTTGAGTTCATTATGGTTTCATAAAAAGAACCAGAAATATCCTCTAAAAACCTGGAAACGAGTCTAGCCTATTTGGAAAATAAGGCACTGGACTGTAAATCAACTGTTCTCCTTTTTGGACTCGGGTCCTTTAACTAAAAAGAAAACTAGAAACCAGACTGTTTGGCCAGATTTCTCCCCTGGCCAGCACAGCATTACTCTCCATGGCATATTTCTAAGATTTTTGTGCAGCTTTAAACACAGGCCAATTCCCTGGAAAGAATTTTCAGTAATGTAACCCAAATCACTCAAGTGAAGTCTTTCATTAAGCTCATTTAAAAATACAAAATGAGAAAGGACTACTTAAAAGCTCTAAATACAGTTATAAAGCACTGACTTTACCCAAAAGCTACACAGACCCTTAGCTCTCTAAGTGCTTAAAAATACTTGAATTATTAGAATGCAGGCTTTAGCTGTCCAGCACTCTTTTTAAGGGTTTAAATGCCATGCTTACAGGTAACCAACCCAGTCCAGAATGGAGGGTTGGCTGGTTTGTGTTCAGGAATACAAACAAGGAAAACAGGCAGCAAGGACCATCAAATGTAGGGAAAGTGCGCTGGGCTGGATCCAGAAAAGCAAAAAAAGACAACTGAGATGAAGGTAAGAGGTGTATAAATGATTCAGGGAACAGAGAGAGCACTGACTGGGCGCAATTAATCACCGTTGCCACGGGAAAAACTAAAGGGCATCCAATAAAATCACCGAGGTGCTGCTTCAGGAGCAACACAGCGTTGCTGGGGGTCACCTTCACACGGGTTCACAAAAGGAACAGACAAATCCACGGGGGGAAAAATCCAGCTGCAGTCTATTAAACACAAGGGGCTGTTTCCAGCTCAGGAAGCACCTGGGCCCCTCACCAGCAGCAGTGCTCCATCCCAAATACCTGTCCCTGGGGCAGGGATTCTAGACACATCACCATCAGATTGTTGGAAAATGTTAAATAAATGCTCTCTTTAAGCTTCTTCAGCATCGACTTATTTTGTTCCCAAACAAAGCTGACAAGAAAAATTTCAATACCCGCCCCAAACACGCATTTAGGCAAACTGCAGCACAAGTGAAAGACCTCAAAGGCCTCCCAAAGCAAGCCATGAGCTCAAACGAAGCAGACCCACAGTTATCCTACGGGGAACGAGGTGCCACGTGGCGTGAAGCCCCCACAGCTCCACGATACAAGGATTATTTGAAGGAAAGTGAACAGCTTTTCTGCATTTGAAGCAGCATTTCTGCATTTGAAGCAGCATCTGGCTTCTTCTGAAGCAACTCCTCTCTTTCCAGGCGTGAATCTGGAGATGGGCAACCAACGCCACGAGTGAAGTGTCCACGCGGGCTCCGTCTGCCGCTCTACTGAAATATTTCACATCAGCTCAAATCCTCTTCTAAGCTATTTTAACACTGTACACAACATCCTGCTCTGTTTGCATTGTATTAATATTTAGGGGAAAAGAAAATAAAAAAAATCACACACAGTGAAGTTCTGAACTTGTTACAAGCAAGGACAGCTTATTACAGCTTACACGGTAAGCTGGCCAGTCAAACCCAGTAACTGTGAGGATCTCCCACCGAGAAAGAATTTCTCTGCCAGTTTTGCTGGGCACAGAGGAGCACCCAAATGAGAGGTGGCACGCCAGCCACCCAGAGCATCCTTCGAGTTGTTTGAATTCAGGACATGAAAAATGTTTATTTCCAACAAAGTAAGTTTGTACTCAGAAGTAAATCTTTACATAGCACAGGCGCTTTTTAACCTCCTGACCTTCACCATCTGCAATTCAGTTTATATTTCAAAAAAACTTGCTGACTTCTGCTTAAATACCAAACAAGGGCTGGACAGACTCTCAGCTTGAGCTCAGTTTTATACAGAGTGATTCTATCTTCAGTTGCTATCTCTGCTAGAGGCAGACAGGCACATATTTCAGATTAACTTGCAACATACTTGCCTTTCAGTGGACATAACATTTTAAATGAAACTGCAGATTAATTAAATGTGAGGCAGTCCCACTCTTCTAACCTCATCTTGTGCCGTGGCAGCACAGCTTTAACAAAGCCTGAGCCATCATTAAATTCACTAGCAACAAGATATTTCATGGCCTGTGTTTCTCAGGGAGAAGTAAAACAAATTTGCAAAGCCAGATGTGGACTGTACTCTGCTCTGCCCACTGCTCTTGTGGCACAGCCAACAAGAGCCAGAACCCTGCACCTACTGGAGAGGCTGGATGGGAGAGGCTGGCTGCAGGGGTGACAAGAAAGATGATTAAAGGCAGGAGGGAGGTGTTGATTCCACACCACAGGAAGCTCACTCCAGTGCCCGAAGCAGCATGATGCTCTTTCACTTCTTCGTGGAAGATGCAAAAATTCATTTCCAGCTGTAACTGCCCGACAAAACATTTTAGAAGTAAAAGCAAACACCAGCCTGACAACAAACAGAGCCAGCTTCTCATGGAGGTCAGATGCACTCCTGGGGGTGCACTTGCAACTCAAACACCCCATTCACAGGCACAGATTGACAGACAAACTGGTCTGATTGTGCAATTCAGTGGCCACAAGTGCATCACGGCTTCCTGCGAACCCCCTAACCCATAGGGTAGGGCTGGGCCAGGGATCCATGGCCTGGCTCTTACAAAAAAGCAAACTGGGAAAATCTGAAGCACATACACAGTTTAACACAGGAAAACCTGGGCAATATCCCACAGCAACCATTTTTCCTGTAACTGGTGTGCACAACCACATTCAGCCGGCATCTTTCTGGCGAGGGGCTCTCAGCAAATCCTGCTGGGATAGCGCTCAGGTTTGAAGCTTTAAATGGTTATGCTTTAAAACCCCACCAGTCAGCCCTACAAAGAACACAGAAAGTCCCAGGAAATTTATAAAGACTCCTTCCTACTCGAAAATGCTGAAAACAACACAGAAAAGTTATCCCATGCTTGGCTGTCTTTGCTGCACTGAGATCCCATTTTCCTTAAGACACTTAAAAAGAAGACGGTGATGCTAACAGATCTGAACTGTCTCCACCGGCACTGTGACCAGAACATTGGCCTGTACACATTTTTTTCAGAATATACATGGAGATAATCTCATCCACAGGTCTGACTTGCAGCACTGCAGGCCAAATATTACAACACACGCCAGACAGTGAAATCAGAAGTGAAACTCCAGCCACGTACAGGCAGAATGCAAGCCTGTGTCAGTGAATGCACGAGGCCCACATGGGACTCCATTGTTACTATTCACACAGCAGGAAGCAGGACAGATGGAGAAAGGCATTTTTTGGTGATTATGAACGAGCACGTGTTACTTTTAGTGAAAAATACCTAAATAAGAAGCTATGAAGCACTGTTACCCCTCCCAGAAGCATCACTCAGTGCTTCCAGGCAGCCGGGAGAAGCCTTGGGTATGTGACTTTGGAGCATGACAGCCCCTCACAGTCTCACTTTCATGTCACTTCTTTTCTTTGCCATCATCAAGGTTAACGTGCATCAGCTCCTGGAGCTCCTGACATTTTCAGAGACGTTATCAAAACTAATAAGCTCCCCTTGTTCATTTTCGTTTTGATAAAAGATAACTGGAAAGCCCCGTAAGTCCCTCCTGGGATTTTAAAACACATTTTTCCAGTAATTCTGTGCTAACAGCGTTGTAAGACTGGTGCAGACTCCCAGAGGAAGCCACATCACACTGCAGAGCTAAACCAACCAAATAAAACAATACCAGCCACGTACCAGGTAAGGTTACTTCCTGAGCCGTGGGCTGTGTGAAAGCTCACGTGGAGGATGGAGAGGTATCTGCAGGAGAAAATCATGTTTATTCATGAGCTTCACTTACCCTGATACCCTAGGAGCTACTGAGCCATCATTGAATCACTCTGCAGCTGTACTTCTTATGCATCCTCCTCCAACTACAGCAACTTGCACATTTAACAGGAGTGCTGGTTACCCCTGTTGGTGCAGCTGCAAACTCTGGCACCAGGAGCAGGAGGGGGGATGCAGGAAAAAGGACACTGGCTCCCAACACAAAGCTTTCTGGAGGAGCTGAGGTCTCCCCAGCTCTCAATCCAGCAGCTTGCTGCCAGCTGAACTCTCCTCTCTTCCTTCAAGCAGGGGAGGTTTTCTGGGAAATCATCAGGTTTGTAAAGGGTGATGTGAAACTCCGGCCTAAGGATAACCATGGAACAAGACAACCTGGAATCACACCGGCTCTCCTCGCTGGAAGCTACGGCCCCTCACCCCAGTCCCGAATCCCTAGTGCCCCAAACCTGCAACAGAATCGAAGAGGAGAGCGGGAAACGGCCTCGAGTTGTGCCAGGGGAGGTTTGGATTGGATATCAGAAAAAAGATTTCTTCACTGAAAGGGTGGTCAGGCACTGGCACAGGCTGCCCAGGGAGGTGGTGGAGTCACCATTGCTGTAAGCATCCCAAAAACATGCAGGTGTGGTGCTTAGGGACAGGGTTCAGTGGAGGGCCTGGCAATGTCAGGGTAATGGTTGGACTTAATGATCTTGGAAGTCTCTTCCAAGCTTAATGATGCTGTGACTTTATGTAGACACTTCCCACGGGAATCCATTTCACACTCGAAACAGGAATTGGCTCCGTACTGTGTCCCCAGAAGAGGGCACAATCCTTACACTGAAGGAGGCAGTGGCTCTCTCAGCTTTCCTCTCCACGTGGCTGCTAAAACAAGGTGACTTGGCATAGCTTGCTCAGCCTCCAAACTGCTTTTTGGAAGGGGAAATCAACTTAAAATGCAAGGGAGAACCTGCAGTGCATCACATAAATGCACCTCAGGAAGAAGAGCAATACAAAAGACCAAAACAACCCAGTCTTCCTCTGGAGATACCTCTCTCATAAACTCAACAGGCCTGCCCCAGAGAATTACAACCTCAGAACTCTATGCTTTATCAGCATTAAAACACCAACAATCCAGTATATTAACTTTAGTGTCACGATGGCTGAGGGACAAAAAAAAACAACCCTAAACCCAAACACCTTCAAATAACAAACAAAAAACCTCACCACACAAAAAAGTGAACATTTTGCAGAGATTTTACATGATTCTGTGAACCCATTCTATCAACACTATTTCTAAAAATAACTGTCTTGATAAAAAGATAATCAAAGGAATCTGTCATTAATGTTATACGGCTGCAGTAAATACCCAACAGCCTGGACTACATTATTCTCTGGAAACAAAGAAAATCTCTCCTAGCTGCAGTTTCCTGAAGAGTCATTTGAGATAACTACCATCAAAACAACTTCACACTCAAGAAGCAGTCACACCAATAAAAACATAGGCTTGTATAAAAAAATATTATAAATTCTGTGTAAGATGAGATTTCAATCATGCCTGTCCTACTCAGATGCAAGTTCCTGGCCCTGCAAGATGGACTACCCAATCAGCCCCCCAAACATCACAAAACCCCACTGAAAACAACAGGCTCCAACAAGCTGAACGTAGACAAACCCAGACAATAAACACAAGGTGTGAGTCCTGACCTACAAAAGTATTTAAATTTTAACAGCTTACCTCTGGCTGTGAGGGATTCTCTTATATGAAACCCTTTAAAGAAAGACTGGGAACCTTTCTAAAAGGTACTATCTAGGTCAGGAACAAGCTAGGATCTGCATCAGGCAGGAAATAATGCTGACTGTCACGACCCTTTGATGTAAAACCAACCAAACAAATAACCCAAACCATGCATGAAAGTGATGCAAGGGATCTCTCACCAGAGTCAGGTTTCAGAGCACTTACCAGCAAGGAACAAAACTCCCTTACCTTGTTAACATCCAAATACTCTAACTTTGGCACTTCTGCTGTCTCCTGCTCCTCGCTGCTCCCTTCATCAATGTCACTGTCCTCGTCCTGTGTGGAGTCTCTCTTCTGCTCTGCAGAGGAAGGTTTGGTGCCCTTTTTGTCGGGTTCCATCTCCCCTGGGTTCCCGGCCACGCTGGGTTTCTTCTGCTCTGCCCCTTCTTCGCTGGGGAACGTCTCTCCCGCCACGCTACAAGAAGGGCTGTCAATGCCACTGTCCCTGTTGGGAATTTTACTGTTCCCGTTCAGTTCCGCAGTCGAGTCTTTACTGCCGAGCTCTCCAGAGGGCTCTTTGCTCCCATCCACAGCAGTGCAGTCTTCGTGGCTTCTGTTCTCACCTATGCTCAGCTCTTTAATTTTCATGATGTCTGCGCTGGTCAGGTCCGTGCACGGTACGGCGGGCTCGGCCTCATCCGCTTCAGCTTTGTCAGTGCTGGAAGAGCCGCTGGAAGCCACAGTGTCACAGTCACAGGAGCCCGCCTGCTTGGATGAGTCCAGCCCAGGTTCCATCTTGAGAGCTAAATTTAGCTGGTTTCTTTGAAGAATATGTACAGGTTGCCTGTGGGTGAAGAGAGAGCACCGCAGTCATTCACGTCAGCGCTCGAGAGGTCTGGCTGGGCTTCGATTCCAGTTGTATTTCCTGCATCCCACTGGCAATCCCAGCGGGGCAAGTGTGTGCTCGTGGCAATAATAACCATCACCCAACAACATCCAAAACAAAAACACAACCACCCCAGCCCCCAGGTTCCACTGAAATGGCCCCACCAGAATCCCAGGCCTTTATTTAGTGCTCTCCAAGTTGCCCTGAAGAACAGTCTGGTTTGGGGGTTTGGGGAGGGAGGAATCATCCTTTAAAAGAAGTATTTGCTTGTGGGCTCGTTTAAAAAGGAACTATCATTCTTTAGCAGAACCAAGCCTTTGGGGCAAGGTAGTTTCTGCCAGAGAGGATGGCAGAAGGCACTTATTTTTCTCTTTGAAACACACCAGGTTCACTCAGGTGATAACACACTCCAAGGCACAGTATGATGCCCCTGTTTCCATCTCCCTCTTTATGAAAAAAAACCTAAAAAAATTACTTTGCTCCATCAGGCACGTTTGGTTCTCAGAGAAAGTCTTCCTATGTTTGTAAACTGAGCTGGTTTTACAGCAAGATACATATGTTTTATCCAATTTAGTGTCACTCATGTACACTGTTTCAGAGGAAATACTGTTCTACATGACATTGTCTCACAGTACACTGCAATTTGCCTCCAAGAGGCAAGATCTGATGTATATTGTATCTCAGACAGAAAATTCGATTATTTTATACTACAATAATCAAGTCCCTATGATGTAACGCCCACATCAAGCCAACTTACTGAAAGCAGACTCTGGGCCACTTGTCTCTGGTACAGCCTTCCCAAATTCAGCAGGCCTCAAGCTCCTTAAGCACAGCTGTACATTACAAACTAAAACTCGCTGAAATACAGCTTTTATTCAAAAGACATTCCATCCTCAGTGCAGTTTTGCACTTCCAGTAGAAAACATCCCAAGAGGACTTTTTGTGTGATCATTACAGTGAATGTTTTCTACCTCTCTACTGTTTTCTACTTTTCTACTGTTACATTCTAAGTTAAAAATGCAGAAAAGGGAGAGGAGAGCAGATCTCACAAAGCCATATTTACCTAATGCTTTCAAATTTCTCAATGAGCGTGTTGACTCCTGCTGATATGGGTATTTCTTCTTCTCCAGGTGCTAAGCTCCTTGACGACTTGGGATCAGCTGGCAAAGGCCGAGACGGCGCAGGAGGAATTCTTTCCTGCCCAGGTTTGAGGTGAACAGGCTTAGGAGGTACTAACAAAAGAGAAGGGAGAAAACGGGAGGGTAAATCTCCATCTTCTTTATCCTAAACTGGGAACAGAATCCAGACCGAGGGGAATGCATTCTTCCATCGGTTCTCCACAGACTGCAAAGGGTGCAGGTCCTGAAGCGCTGCTTACACCAGAGCAAGCTGCTAAATAAAGCCGGTGGGCTTCTACCTGGCGTTTCAGCAGCCGGAGCAGCCGCGCGAACAAAGCGAGGCGCTCGCGGAGCTGCAGCGCTTCCTCGTTACCAAACAGGATGCACGGCTTACGTTTCGTGCTCACAAGTCTGCCCACCACCCCAATCACACCAGCGAGCTTCCCCCTCCCGTGACTTCTCAAAACTCGGGCGCTCTTGTTGAACCTCTTGCACCGTGAAAGAAAAATGGGGGCTTGGGTGGGGGAATGGCAACCCAAACCAAAACCACCGAAACCCAGTCCCAGCGTGGGTCTCGGTGCCTCGTGCTGGCACCGTCAAAAACGCCACAGGCAGAACGTAATGGCTTTTCTTCCTCCCCCCCTTCTGCCTCCCCCCTCTCTTCTGTGGTGTACAGTCTTCACAAATTTCCTTCCTCTTTTGATTCTACGTCGGGTTGCATGTGATATAAATAAGACACGCGTTGTAAGAACACACACTTTCTGCCTCAGGACTCACAGGGAAGCCAAGGCACAAAGTTTAACACAACATTTAACACAAAAAAGTGGCATTAAAACGTAAAAAATTTATCCAGGCCTTCCACTGATTGCAGAGTAAATGGTTTATCACACACAAGCAGTAACCCGTGGTGACAGGTTCCCATGCTGTCATGGTTTCATACAGGGAGATCAACTCCCATAGGGCAGAGCTGACATGGAAAGGCAGGAAAAGTGACCGTGGGATTGCACTCACTGCTTGGAGCAGCACTGCCAAGTGTCCCCTCCGGTCTAGACTATCCACAGCTGGCATGTTAAATGAGGAAACTCTGTGTTTTATTGAATACTATCTTGGAGAACAATTTCTTCCAGGCATTTCCCAACTTTTCGATGCTCCATGAGGCACACGTGATCAGCAACTGTAATGGAGCTTGAGTTGGCAACTGTTCTGAATGCCATTTCAGGGTTACTTGCTTTAGGAGACTAAACAGAGGCACATGCACCTAAAAGCCAATTCCTGTTGTCCCTACCTTCCAGAAGGCTCTGCATCTGTTCCAAGCTCCACATCAGCCCAGATGTCCACCCTGCACCAGTGGAGTGGGAGCTGCCACAGCAGTCCACAATCAATCATCTGAGGTCAGTGATGAAGGGCTGTTACAGCATTTTGGAGCTCTGAGTGTAGGTCAGATTATAAACTCCCCACGTTTCTGAGTTTATTTCAGCACGAAAGAAAAAAACCAAGCTGAAGAATCTGAGCTTTAAGGGGACACTTCCTATAAGAGGATTGATTTGATCAGTCTCCAGAGATATCTAAAATTCCTACCTTCACATAAAGGTGTTACAGTCCAATTCTGAAGAGACCTCCACAAACCCTGTCTTACACAGGAATTACAGGGAAGAGGGAAAAGAAAATCCTCTTGCACATACACAGGATGGTGGAGCTCTAGGTTTTGCTCACCAGGTTTTCATGTGCATACCATGTGATCAGTGAGTGTCTGGCCATGTTTCTCCTTGTAAACCCAAAAAACAACCTGAAAACAAGTATCCACGCAGCCATCTGGCCCCTGAAGCCAGAAGAGGCAAGCTCTGGGCTCCTTGCAGAAGGTGCACGGTGCAGCAGGCAGACAGGTCAGAGCCTCCCCCACACCCCATTGGGTCCTTCAGACCTGGCCCTGGTCCACAGCACCCAAAGGTTCTACACTAACATCAAAGCCTTCACACTGGGTGTCACTGCTGCCCACGGAAACATTTGATGCCTTTCCTGTTAGTGGATCCACCCGAATCACCTGAGACAACATGCTCTGCACTGAACCAAAAGGAAGCTGGAAAACACTCTTGTTAATTCTGAATTTTTACTTCCTGAAGTAATGCTGAGAAATGGAGACACCAGGATGCAGGCAAAGCCACCGACCCTGCCAAGGACTGCTCACCAAGGGAAGTTTCAACCACACCAGACGTGGTTCAAGACTAAGTGCACCTGGGTTGGGGCAATCCCAAAAACAGACTGGGTGCAGAACATTTTGAGACCAGCCCTGGGGTTGTCAGGGTGCTCGACATGCCGTGGCCGTGTGTGCTGGCACTCAGAAACCTCTGTGTCCTGGGCTCATCCCCCAGCATGGGCAGCAGGTGAGGGGCAGGGGGAATCTCCCCCTCTGCTCCATTCTGGTGAGACCCCACCTGCAGAGCTGCCTCCAGCTCTGGGGGCCCCAACACAAAGAAGACGCTGACCTGTTGCAACAAGTCCAAGGGAAGCCAGGAAGATGCTCCAAGAGCTGGAGCCCCTCTGCTCTGGAGCCAGGCTGGGGAGAGCTGGGGGGGTTCCCCTGGAGAAGAGAAGGCTCTGGGGAGACCTGAGAGCCCCTTGCAGGGCCTAAAGGGGCTCCAGGAGAGCTGGAAAAGGATCAAGGGCATGGAGTGAAAGGACAAGAAGCAATGGCTTGCCACTGCCAGAGAGCAGGGTTAGATGGGATATTGGGAAGGAATTCTTCCTTGTGAGGGTGGTGAGGCCCTGGCACAGGTTGCCCAGAGAAGCTGTGGCTGCCCCTGGATCCCTGGAAATGTTCAACACCAGGCTGACTGGTGCTTGGAGCAATCCTGTTTAGTGGAAGGTGTCCCTGCTCATGGCAGGGGAACGAGATGAGCTTTAAGGTCTCTTTCCACCCAAACCATTCCGTGAGTCTCTGATTCTAATTAAAGCTTGAAGTTTGCTGCATGGAAGAGATATCAGCGTTACAAAGCATCTTCAGGTGGTGCCTGAAGGCTGAAGCCACAAGCTGGAATGGTATTTCCCCACTCTTCCTTCTCCTGAGCAGCAACCCAGCTCTTCAGAGGAGGCAGAACCCAACACACAAAATCTTTGCTGCAGATGGAACAAGTGAAATAACGAGAAGCAGCAGGACAGAATCAGAACAGTCAAAGGCAAGGTTTAAATAAGTGAGAGAAGGTATAGCCCATGCTTGGCCCTGGGACTGTAAACCAGCTGGGAATATGGGACTGGAAAATGAGCATCTCAGCCTTTGTGTGATTCCATCTCCCCTGGCTGTGAGTTCCTCTCTCACAAGCACCTTCTCTGCAGTAAAGCAAACACTCAACACACATTTATTATGGACTGGATGGAGACATTCCCACCCACCATCCCAGCCTGGGGGCTGCCCTGACTTGCTGAAAAAGCTGGGAGGACCTAACAAAGAAAAAAATCAAGTGGTGTGAGACAGAGTGGCAGATTTACTTACTTAAGTTAAGGTGCTGGACAAGAAGAGATGTAAAAAAATACAGATGCTGGAGGAGGTTATGGAGGGTTATCCCCTGGGGAGCAAATACACTCAAAGGAAGAATAAATGGCCCAAAAGCACATCCTTGGGTGGAGGTAGAGAGCTGCTTCTGGAGCCTCAGGTGGTGATGCCAGCACATCACGACCGACCGACAAATCAACAAGAAACAGCCCTTAATGAGGCAGCCACGAGGCTCTGGGGAGAAAGCCCTGGGAAGAAAGGATCTTGCATAAAAAAACATAGAGAAAACTAAAGAAAGATTTACTGTCTGCACCACAATGTCACAGCTACTTTTTGGGGATATGGCCACCAAGAAAGAGTAAGGATGTTATACATTAAAAATGTCAACTTCAAATTAAAATTTTTGGGGTTTTTTAAAATAAATTTTGATGTTTTCATTTTCCTGGAGAGGAAGTATTGAAGTATTGTATATGAAGTATTGTATAGTAAGTATTCTCCTTTCTTTTCTGTGTATAGAACCCACAGAGCAAGAGAAGATCAATGACAAGGGAGAAAAGCCATTTCAAATTTACAAAGCCAGTAAAAGTGAAGAAAAAAAAAATTGTACTATCTTCCCTTGCAAAGTATCTTCTGCATTGTTCTCTCCTGCCACACATTAGCTAATTGAAGATACTTTTTAAAAGCAGTTTTATTTTAAAGGAATAATAATAAAATATATAAAATAATAAGAAATAATACAATCATTATTTAAAATTCAAGGCAAAGAAGTGTCTTTCAGGAGGATGACTTGTCACCTGGATTTGTAGCTTTGGCTAAGCTGGCTCATCCTGGTTTTTAAGTGTTGGATACTCCACAAGAGTCTCGTGGGAATTTTCACTGGGACTCCCTTCCCTGGATTACTTTTACAGTGACACCAAGAAGCCCAGAAAATTGAGTTCTGTCCAAAAAAAAGTAACAGCAAGAGTAACTGCTCAAAAAAGCATTTCACCTTTGGGTGTTTTATTTCACCTCTTTAACCATTTCCATCCTTTTCCATCCTCATGAGACAGCAGATCCACTGACTCCTGTTCTGAGCTCAGGGCTGTAACGGCAGAGAGAGCTTGGGAGGGGGGTGAGCAGCAGAAAGAAGCAGCAGTTCCTGTCTTGGTGACAGAAATGGATCATATTCATCTACTTGGGTAAGTTTTAAGCAAGAACTGAACCAAGCCAAGTAGGCTCCCTCCAACTTTTCTGAAATTCTCACCTATAAAGAACAGGTTAGGTCCTCAGTGACTGGAAATCAGTGCCACGAGTACAACAGCAAGGAATCTGCACCAGCTGAATTCATTCCAGTTCTCAGTGAACAGACACTTCTGCTGTGCCTTTTTATTGTCAGCATTAACAACAGTCATGGAACACCCACTAATTAAACCTGAACAACCAAGACCTCTGGGTGAAAGCCTGATAAAGACACAGACCTTGTGAGATGTTCAAGGCATGAAGCAGTATATTAATTTATCATTTAAGGTCTGCTTCCAGAGGCAGAAGCACAGTACTTTCTTTGTTGTTGTTCAAGGCTGAACTACTTTTGTACAGACACATCTGAACTGGGAGGGGGTGATGGTGCAGCAGCTCAGTGTGTACAACACCAAAACATCTTTTTTTTTTTTGCCTGACAATGCCCACCTATCACATGGATATGTCTCTTAAAAAAGATTCTGGTTTATGAACTTAGTATCCTCTTGAGGCTTACCTTCCTTTGCTCCTGACACCCCTATGGTATTTGCATCCCCAGTTCCCTTGAGGCAAGCACCCATCACATACACAAGGGTAATTAATTCTACAAAGCAGGCAGTGTGATAGCAGGGCACTTGGCAAACCGACATCACAAAGACAGGCCCCGTGTCATCTCACTGATGGAGAAACATGGAAACCATTTATCCTCTTTCAAGAAATCTACTGAAGTCTTCTTTTTTTTTTTTTTTCCCCCAGAAGCCTGGGGAGACCAGAAGAACAGCTGGGGACCAGCTGGATCATGCTTCTTCCTGGCTCCTCTTCCACCATGCTCTGGGATTGCCACCTATTTGACAATGAGCTGGCAGGTCTGTGGAAGTACCACAGCCCACATGTGACTGGTTTAGCTCCTATTTCTCATTTTTTTTAAATAAATTCGTTTCATTCAGGCATTTCCTGTGGCCATGCAATAAATGGAAAACAGACCAGCTTTAAACAATTAGCTATTATTACCTAAAATACTTTTTAGAAAGATTTACATGAAATGTAAACAACATTGCTAAATTCAACTTGCACTTCGCAGCCTCATAACAACGGTACAGGAAATATAAAACAACACGTTAAGTAACTGGTTATTGCTGAATCCATTTCTTCTTGAAGGCCTCCCTAAGTGGTTATCTAACACTGGGAAAAATGAACATCATAAAACCCTGCCAAGCCATACATCAGAACATAAAACAACTGTTCTGCCGGGACCCGAATTAAAACAATAATTTAAAAATATTCCACTTTCCGTGCTCGTACAATTTCTAGAAGGTCAAAGCCACTTGCCTTGGGGTTTCTGCAGAGGGTGCATTTTGGCCAGTGGAGTTTTGGTTTTGGGCTTCCTTCCAGCCTGATGGAGACATTGTGCCGGGCTGACGTGCTGCAGGTCCCCACATGCTTCCAACACCGGGCTGGAGTCAATGTGGCATTTGATTTGGAAAGGAGAACAAGGGCAACCTGAGGGAAGAGGAGGGGGGGGGGGGAAAGTCAATATTTATTTTGTTCTATTAGTCCCGAAGAAAATTTGTGCTACTCCTAGAAGCGTATCACTCACCCCAGTTCTTGAGGAAGGGGTGAGCCATTCGCTCACAAGTTATTACAGCCAATATATCCAGCCTTAATAATCCTGTCAAACTGACTGACTGCTCAGACAGGCGGAATTTCGGTAATGCTGCCTTTAATTAATGATTTACTTCTTCATTACAGACACCCACAATGAAAGAGCGAATATAAAAGATAAAAAACCATTTCAGAAGGATTTCTCCGGACAGAAATGCCAGTGCTGCAGCGCAGAACATTGTTTTACTTGGTAAGATAAACCTAAATTAGGGTGACTTAGAAATGGTGTTCCGCATAGTGGGAATGGTACAAGTGCCATTCCTTCAGATTTAATCACTCGAGCTGCATTTTACCCCTATTTATTACTCCTCCAAACATAAAATATTAACATTCCTTCAAAAGCCTCTGGTCTAGAAGATGCTGTTAAGATATGATCCAGGGGGAACACAGAGAAAGAAATGATTAATGCGATTGTTTGCCTTTAATTTAACTTCTGGGGGGGCTGGGGAAGCAAACCCAGGTGTCGGCTTTCGTGGAGTGGAGACTTCAGCTTTTGATTCGGGGTTTTTTGGACTTGTGGCGAGCCTACAGCTACACAAAACCCCCATGTCAGCTTTATCAGCGTGCCATGAGAAGGTTAAAAGAGAGTTTAAAAAGGGCTGTGGTTTAAAATTGCTGAATATGAACACATGAATATATATGTGCTTCCGGCAAGACTGAGAAGCGGAAAACGTATCAAATTTAGAAATTTGAACGTGAATGCATTAAAAAAAGGGGCAAAGAAAACATGACAAACATTCTTTTCACACCCCTGTTTTGAAGTGGGATTGCTGAATTTACCAGTGTCTCTCTGGAGTGCGAGGTGACCCGAATCATGGAGAAAGGATTCATCTAAAGGTGAAAAAACAGCGTTTGCCTTCCCGTGATGTCTTCAAGAACGTGGATTTAGCTTCAAAAATGCAACCTAACTCTTGGCCAGATTCCTATTAAGATCAGAAACCTGAAATGAAAAGCCCCTCCGTCCACATCAACTGAATTATCCTGGGTTGACACTATAATGGTATTAAATCAGGATGTGACTTTTTGAGTAAATCCACTGGAATCTGAGCTGTGCAGACTGCTCGGGAAGATTAGCTGAGAGCTGCCCTCAAAATGCAGAAACTTCAGCATACAGATTTCCTTTTAAAAAAGGGCATAAAATATTAAAGTCAATTTTGTTGCCAAAAATAGATTCAGATGACACAAAACTACTTACTGATCTCTGGCACCCAAATATACAACCCCTGAATTCCCCGTGTGTGGCTGCCAGTTGTTGCTGTTGAAGCTTCATTAGCATTTCTACCACAAAATCTACTTTTCAGCTGATCTGAGAACAGCTATTAAAACATCCTTCCAGCTGAAAACAGGAAATTATAAGTACTAGGTTCCATTCAAATATAATTTCACTTATCAGGAGAATGCAGTGAAAGTGGAGTAGATTATTAGAGCAGATCAACAGATTATTGCAAACACATCATCACAGA